TTCGGCATAACCACTGCATAACACCATGTTGTTCCTATCATTGACAGGTCAGCGGCTATGCCGTTCTTGACTTGTTACACGGGGCACAACCGAGCAAATTTCTTGCTTCTGGAAATTGTGAGTTGATGAGAAGCGCCTAAACTGAGTTGGAATTGGAACCAGATTCGAAAGTGTAGAGATAAACCATTTGTCCATTGCACCACTGTCATCCCACGTTTATGCCATAAAAGCGTGAATTTTGCCGTTTCAAGGTCATATGCCAAGTTTAGGTAACGCTTAGCTCAATATGAACACAGAAAGCGACGAAAGCAACCTTTCATTGGCGATGACGGTAAATTACCTTTACGGATACGTGAGCCGTATGTCTATAGTATGGTCTTCTTCACTGACCATCACACACTTGATTGTGTAAATAAATTTTGAGCGTACGGTAAGACAGACACAAGTACCCTACGGTGCTTGTGAGTGAGTACCACAGCAGAAAGTTTAAGAAAAAACGAGTAAAATATGATTTAATGAGTAAACTTGTATCAGCGATGAAGGAAACAAACTTTTTCAGCTGAAAACGTAAAATCTTTTCAGTTGAGAAAAAAAGTGGGATACAATTGTCAGACGGAAGCCTTTGAGGGCTTCCTTGCTAGGGCGTCAAACTCGCAATCGGTAATCATGGGTTCGAAATATTTGCCTTTCATCCATCTGACGTTGAAACATGAATGACGATGTATGAGAGGAAACCAGGCCACTATGTACTATAGCAAATAAGTAAAAGATATTGCTTTCACAACCATAGTGTCCTCATGGATGATGGCATCGTAACGGAAATACACTACACGAAAATATTATGCTACAAATACGCCCCTTATGAATTGTTGAATAGATCAACGTGTCAGCGTCTGTAAACTTTCCAGTTATTTTCAGATGCTCTTCTGAATATCGAGACACACGTTGTTTTTACCGACCCCGCATCGACTCGTAGACCATAATTCCTTTCTTACCTGGTTCAAGTCATGCATATGATGCCCTCACCATTGAGAAGTCAGACCCATCACAGTTCCATCATGGTTGGCTACACGACCATTTCCAGTAGATTGCAAACCAGAAGCATTCGCGTTGGCAGAGAATATCCGGTTCAATTTTCAAAATCAACAAATTTCATATTAATCTAGATAGCATGCATCAGGGTTGAATACCTAGTCTATTCTTTTTTAATATATAAGCGCGATACATCTACGTCATTTTTACTGCTTACTGTCTCCCTCCATTGCAGGAATAGAAGTTGAGCAATGTTCTCTTCAAAATTACTGTTTCTGCTCTACACCGTGAATTGCTTGTAAACGCCACCTGCTGAGCAGGAACTTTGGCGAGTAGCAGTTGATCAGAACCACAATGAGTTTTGTCGAATCTTTAGGAGCAGAATAAAAAACACTATTTCATCACGTGCAACCTCGATATTCTCAACACTAGGTAGGTGCTGGGCCCAATTTAAGATTCCTAGGGTGTTATTCAACTTTTTCCATAAAAAATTGTCAATTCCGGCAGAGAACAGTGAAATCCGTTGCATCATCATCCGTTTCAGACTATTCGCCATGGTTTCTTTAAAGGTTCAGATGATGTGGGCATTTTCTGAGAGGCAACATTACGCTTATGCATCTGTTTGCTCCCATGTTTTCAAGAAGTTACCGATTTTGCGAGGTTCCAGTTTTCTCAACCTGGGTTGCCTTAAAGCCGTATTCAAACAGATTCTTCATTCTAAGCTGATTCTCAAAGTCTCGATGTAGTAAATCATATTTGGAATGAAAACACGTTCTCTAATAAGCTTTCGTACAACTAGCCCAAACACCATGCATACGAGGCACAAGCTTCATTTACTCAAACATTTTTCTATGGTTTCGACAGCCAGCGTTCTTCGCCAAAGAATTAAAATAGAGTGCTAAAATTTTTCTGTCGATATGTTGTTCAATTAAACCTTTTCCATTTACATAGGCAGTCGTCAAGGGAAATTATCGTTAATCTCGTAAAAGCTCTTATTTAATTACGTCTGCTGCAAGGCCTCCAGCAATGAAAGACTGCCGGTCTGCTCTGCATTGTTTTGCAGTAAATTAAGTTTACCACCTAAATGACAGGTGTGAAGTAACTGAAAACTGAGACAAACGCATCATTTGGCAGAACGCCTTTTTTAATATGTGCCTAATTGGGATTTATACTTCTTCCTTTTTGCTTCGAAGTCAAGGAATTCTTTATCGAGACGAATTTGTCACAAATGAGGGGCCAGATATGCTAGTCATTTAGTTGGTGACTATTTTGATGGCAAACCTTCGCCCTTATCCTGGCGACCAGAGTGTTTTTGTACGTCACCTTTGCATTTGACTCCTTACTGCAGAGTAGGGGCTATCGAATATAAGGTGGAACAGAATTCTGATTAATGGAAATCAATGTGTGCCGGTAATAGAAGGAATGCAGTGGAAAGTATGCCATTTTATAGGGATTTTACCATATTATGGGTTAGTGTAGTTTTTCCAATGAAATGTCGACTAATTCGAATATTTGACAAACAAACTGATGAAGAAACATTGCTTCAGGTTAGCATAATAATAACCATCAAGGTTAAAAGAAAAATGCTATCAATACCCAGAGTGGCATGTCCCCTGGCTTTAAAATTTACGTGCACGTCTGTTCTTCCCCATTAGAACGACAGAAGATTATTCCCGTTTCAACAACAAAGGAGAAGATGCTTTACTTTACTAAATGTTGGCCCTAAGATAGGCCCTACTCCAAAACGAGCCAACACATTCACTGAACAAAGCAGCTCATGCGCAAGCGGTAACTTTTCTCCGGTGTTGTGCAAAATTGCTGGAATTCAATCGACACCCCCCAATCTATGCGGTAGCCCATTTACATCAAGCGGGTAAAAAATCACCGAAGCTATTCTACCGGTAAGGAAAACAACCAAGGCAGTCACAAATGGGTAGCTTCACCGCGTTACCACAAATATCTACTGCTTGGGTGTAAAGTCAGTTGGTCAAATTTACTTAAGTGAACACCAGCATCGCCGATCGGAACCTTGCCTTCTGTCTCCACAACTATTGGCTCCTTTGGACGACCAATCAAAGATATTTACGAGACTTCATTGCCAATCTACATTGAAGAAGGCCGGAAAACACGGGTCGAAACGTTGGTGTTGGTCAGCCACCGGACTGACCGCAGAATCTTTTGCGTTGTGTGTGAAGAAACCGCGATTTACACATTTCTCACCTTCATACTGCTAGAAATATCGTCCCCCGAAATAATGATTACTGGAATTTATTACCAGTGTCCCCTGATTCATTCATCATATCAGCGAAAGATAACAGTTATCGAATAATCGCAAACATTGCCTGCCTTTTACCCCCGCCACATCGCACGGTCTGCTCCGTGAAACAATAATGACACTCAAGGAAATGGCATGGAACCAGTCTACCAGTCCCCCTCTGGCATCAAAGAAAAGGACCGACATGAGACGTATGGTACGCACGTTTTATGTATGGAAATTTTCGAACCTAGGACAAAAACTTTCATCTCTCCGACTGGTCCTTGCTTTGTGTGGCGACAAACGCGTCAACGCACTTCCGCATTCTCTGTTCTCTACTTCCTGATTTTACCTCTGGTCAAGATACTGATCATATGATCGTCTGACGTGTTTCTGAATGACGTATTGAACGCTGGTGGATCAGCGCAACCCTCTCTGTAATTATTGGTGTTCAGTGATTGCTTCCCAAGCGAGCTGGCAAGGCTGACCAGTATTCTCTTTACACCTTAGGTGGAAGTAATCACGTGATTTAGAATACTCGTTTTCGAGTTTATTTGTTATGTGATTCCAAACTGAGACTGAGACCTTGCACAAGCCTCCCTCCATCGCTCTTCGAGTAACCATCGGTTTATTCTCCTGGGCTTCAATAGCAGATCAGCAGTCTACGCCGTAGATTACGGTTGATTAAAGTCATTGAATTTAATAGCTGCTTCTTCGTCCGCATTTTTGTCTCATTCTCGAGAGGTAATACTTAATATGGTTAAAGCTGGTCCAAGCCGTCTTCCTTCTGCTGATTTTCCTGTTTGACGAGTTCATGTGGTCAACCAGGCGGCTGAAACATTTAGCTGGCGAGTCGTCGAATTCTTCGCCATTCGCCTACACAAAGCCCTCAGAGCAATGGTTGTTTCACATGCATTTTGCCATGGAAAGATTAACCTCTGAACCGATCATGACAGATTTTTAATTCAACTGCTGGATCTTTTGTTGGAGTCTCATCGCGTCTTTTGGAAAGGCGGTACAGGCTTTTGCTAATAAGAAATGCGTTATCTTCATCGGCAAAGGAAAGCAGACCTCTTTTAACGATGAATTTAATATAGATGTACCCTGACCCGTTTCTCCTTCTTTTTTTCTTTCTGCTGCTCCCCTCCTTCTTATCCTTCTCCTCATTTTCCTACTTCCTCTCACTCTCGTCACTTCCGTCTACTTTTTGCTGTTCTCTCATAAAATTCTCCTTCTTCTCGTTCTTGTTACCCTGTTTTCCTTATCTTCCTTCGCCAGCATCATATTCATAATTGAATTATAACTATAATCAGACTTCGAAATCAGTTGGATAAGTTTAAACTTCTGATCTGGAAATATGTTGACTGATGGTAACTTAATTATATGCTCACGGCATTGTTGCCTTTATGCATTTAGTAAAGATAGAAATATCGTTGTGTTTATGACATGATAATAAATAAAACACTGATGAGTTGTCGAAATGTTGCTCGATTGATCCGCTGAAATTTCATGAACTATTCGCTTACACCAAATTGCATTATTTTAAGAGAACAGTTGAAAACGTGTTTCATAAACAGTGTGCAGTCGCGGACCGGAAAACATCGCTGGAAGAAGAACTCATGCAATTCGCACTGCACAAGAAAACGAGTGCAGTCATTAGGCGACCCCCCGCCAACACCTAAAGGCATTTATCGACAACTGCAAGCTTTTCCAACAGACATAAGTTTTAATTTGCGACACTCCGACTGATCTCACCCCCCTGAGGCGCACTGCTGTCTTCGTTCATTAACTTTAAATCTGAATAAGCACAGACAACCAAAGTTAAATTAATTCACACTTGAAAACCCTCGACGAAGCATATCCTCTAACATCGCCGTCGCCCAGGCTGAAAACAAGCGACTTTTCTCTAAATCGCCTCTTCTACCACCGGCTCTTCATGATGAGCCGATTCATCGTCCCTCGACTGTTGAAATGCCCACCGGTCATTCAACTTAGGAAGCTACTGCTCGGTGGTTGTCCTCATTTCCACTTCTCTGCTAAGGTATCCGTTGCACAACTACCATACAGCGCTGACAACGTCTATTTGTTTCGAGTGCTACGAAGAAATGCAACGCTATGTCTTAGAAGTGTGATATCGCCGCACAGCAGCTACCTAGAGTACCGGTTCCTGGACTCAGGGAAACTTTGGATAAGTACCTGGAGTACGTGTCAGTGATCAGCAGTGAGGAAGACTTCGTGGTCACTCGGCGAAATGTCCAAGAGTTCGCTGAAACAGAGGGTCCGGCGCTCGATCAGCAACTGCGAGCCATTGCAGCCAACGAGGAGAACTGGGTATTGTACATACGTTTCGTAGAAAAGTTTTCTGTTGTTAAGCGGTGTATTCTTGTTCAGGTCAATCAGTTTTGGATTAAGGAGATGTACCTCGGCAATCGGCTACCGTTGCCGATTTATTCAAACCCTGGATTTCTCTTGCCACAACAGAGCTACGCCTCCAATGAGGAAATGACAAGGTAGTGTCCTTTCGCCGCCACGTGATGACTTGTTGCACTTTCAGATTTGTGGCGTTATTCATACATGGTATATACGACTACAAAGAGAAAATAGACAAGTAAGTAAATGATTCACTGTTTGCATATTTCTGTACATATGAAAATACATATGTTCTTCAATCTGCGGCGCATAACAGGAAGTCCCACTGTCTTTTGATTCTATAGTTCGAAGTAAGAA